AATAAACACAGGCAAGGCATTCCAGATTTTGGAACATGAATGTAATGTACTCATTCTGAAGAGGAGAGTTCTCTTCAGGATGTGCCATGATTGTTTCCCGTATAGTTCTTCTTGTGAAGATTTGGTGTTGCTAGAAATATGTTGGAATATGTACCAGAATGTTTCAAGTACCACAACCATCTACTTTAAGACCATTCCAATATCTTTTAGTTTACCTTACAGCCTGTCTTTTTCCTTGAAATCGGTCCCTATTCATCCTGAGCTCTTCAAAGAAGAATAATTTTAAATTGACCTTCTGGACTCCTAAGTTTTCTCTGTCTGTCAAGGCAAAGCAAGCCATTCTGCCTCTCTCTCCCTTTCACATGCTTACTGTAAATTCAGCTGGATAGATACAGCAAATACTAATGTAGCCTGATGGATCATCCTCTTTGAATCTGGATACAAATATCTGTACTTGTAAGTATTCAAACTTGCAATCTGTCAATGGCCTTGAGCTAAGAAAAAAAAAAATCCATGTAAGCAGAGGAAATATCGTCAAGTTTCACCATCAAGGCAACATTTGTCTCAAGCGCTGGATTTAGTGGGAGATGACCAGAGTAATAGGGCTCCAGTTACTAACTTGTATAGCAGCAATTTACTTAACAGCGTATTTTGGCAGAGCAGTTGACTTGTACAGCTTGCACCCTCTTAAGTATTTTTAAAATATTGGGTATTTATTTTGTCTTTATGGTAAGTTTTATACATTGTTCTGGTCTAACTGTAAAGAAAACAAGTCATCAGTATGGACACCGTTGTTTCTGATTCTCCTGTATGTGTTGTATCAATGGACTCTTCAAGTATTTTGTAAGTATTATAGAATATGGGTACAGGTCAACTGGAAAAGCAGCTGCTTTTTGAAAAAGGATAAAATTTGGAACAGCAATAGCTGCGGTCAGAGCTTGTAGAGACTTTAGATATTGCTGACCTGTTTCTTAAATTGACAAACTGTAGTAACTATTTCAAAATTATTAAGATTTAATAGTACTCAAGTACATCGATTAAGTTTTGGAAACAGAAGTCTTCTGTAAGTATTTTCTGAAACAACACATCACTAATGTTTATATATATTGTGATAGGAAGACCTGTTTCTTTCATCCTGTATTGGCTCTAGTTTTGACAGTTACTTGAAAGTGTTTTTTTTCTTGAGAAAATGTGGGCAGCAGTAATAGTAAATGTATTTACATGCTAGATAAAACTACTTTAAAGATGCTGAGAAGGGGAGGTGGTTCAGACGTAAATTATAATTGTCTTATTTGTCAGGGTTTTTGTATTGGAAATCAACTGAACTTAATAGGACTGATTTTATAAATGTATTAAAACTTTCAAAGTAGTAATTTTTGTAAATTATTGCAGTTTGATGATTTTTGTTTACAATACATAACTGATAGTAATGGTGGAGGAGATGTTCAGCCATTCATTTTCAATAGAAAGTTACATGTTCACTGTATTTTGTCTTTAATTTCAAAAGAATTGAAGTGTGGGTTGTTCTGTGGCTCTGATATAATGCATTATTTGCATGTGTTTTCTGTTTAGGTTTAATCTTAAGAATGGAACAGTATGCATCATACATAGGATGTGAGATTTCTAAAGTGCCTTTATCTGATAGCGCTCAGAGAATTATGGCAGCTTTGCAGTCTAACCCCGTAGAAGTTCAGACTAGCAGAAAAAAGAACCAGAGTGAGTAAATCTCAGCCTATTTAAGCATTTCTGTTTTCAATTGAAAAATTGAAACCCAGACAAATAAACCAGTATCAAATCTCTGGTCCCTATTTAAAAGGAAGAGAAAGGTGAGAGTTTAGATTTCCAGGGTTAGAAAAGGAGTTAAGCTGTAACTGTGACCTTTGCTGGGGCTTTTCTGATTGAATAATACTATATGAATGCAAAGAGCTAGGATATTACCAGTATCCTCAACTTCATTGTTTCTTCCTGTCCCTGCTGAGTGGTATAGAATTAGATGAGAATTTCAAACTGTCAGTTAACTAATACTGTAAATTCAGTGTATACAGTAACTTGACTCTGGACTAGATACTTGAAGATCACTAGAGGTACTGAGAACTTGCCAGAAGGCCTGTAAACTCTCCAGACTCATGTTTGTCCTTTGAATACATGTTCATTAGCAACTCGCTCCCTGTGAAATTCTAGGGTGAAGAGTGAATAGAAGTCCCAGAGGTAGAGTGAATTAGCTAATGTTAGAAGTGCTTCAGCAGATCTCTGACTGTTAAGCAAGTCTCAGTCAGAATGTTGTGGATACTATGGAGGTTTTGCAAGATGGATTTTTTATTCTCAATTCTGTGCATTTCACAGAATGTAGCTCTTGAAAGAAGTAGATAGAGTTTTGCTTAATTTCAGTTGTCTGTTTTCCCCTGAGAACTAGATCCTGGCACATCTTGTCAAGCCGATTTAGATCTAGCACTTGTTCTTATGTACATGGTGTTTGTTGCAGCCTCTGGTTCATTAAATAACAGATCAGGTGGTTCTTTCAGTGGCAAAGTATTGGATGAGTGGAGCCTCATGGTGTAGCACTGAAAAGGATAGTTCATTGCTGCGTAAATCAGTGATACTTGAAATACAGAATGTGGGTTCATTTTAAAATGGCACATTTGGACCAAACCCCACATTATTTTTAAAGAAAATCTGATCCTTCTTCTGCCTCAGTGTAATTACTCTTTCACTTTTCTTGCTATCATGTCACTTTCCTTAATTTTCTTGTGTGATGGTTTTTGTCATAGACTGTAGAACTCTGTGCTGTGTGATATCTCTATCATGTGACCTTGGCCACTCTTGATCCATTCATTCCATGTCAAGGTGTAAAAAACACCATGAAGGTGTCTGGTGTCTTCAGTTAAATGAGGTTGCTGTCCTTGTAGTGCTGTGAAATCCTTATTCCCTCGGGAGTGTAAGAACAGGATAAGCATTTAGTGGTGGCAGGTCAGATGAGTGGCTTTTCTTGCTTTTGTTTTCCATGTAGTGATTATGTTTGTTTCTAGTGCTTTAAGAGCAAACTTTATTTGAATTGTTTTAAGGGAATTGTTTGTGTGTATATATAATCTTTAGCTGGATCAACATGGGTCTGGAGAGAAGAAAAGGTTTGCCTCCTTTAAAAGTAAAATAAAAATCGAAACCCAGCTAAAACCCTGTCTTGTTAATTGGTCTGTTTCAAACTTTAATGAGCTCTGTTTGACTGATATATCTTTAAAGATTAAATTCTCCTTACTGGAAAATCTCTCTTCGGAAGGTAAATACTGGGTTCAGTAGGGACAAATAATTACAATGTTGAACTAGTGGGTGAAATTCTCTTGTTACCTTAACAGTAGAGCTTGTAATATTCCATGTAGTGTCAAGGAGTTAGGAGGCAAGGATGGGTTTCTACTGCCATCTGGTGATACTTTTTCATAAACTAGCAATTTGAGGTTGCATAGCTCTTTAGATAACTGTCACACTGAATACTGAGTGCTGAGAGAAATGTAGATGTCATCATCTCTGGAAGGTGAATTTGTCAAGAAAAAATGTCTAGCTGTGAAACAATGAAAAGTATTCAACGTAAACTCAGTCACTGTCATTCTTTAATTATAATTTTAGTGTTGTAGGAAGTGTTAAGAAAAACAAACCTAAAATGAAGCTACAGTTACATCCAGATTCACTATTGTAACAGCTCAAGTTAAAAGTCTGAGCTGGAGTTAAATAACTGATTATACACATAGACCAATATGAACCTGCATTTAATACTATAGTAAGCTTAGTTTCTTATGGAGACTAAGGTAGTTACTCTTTGAAAATGCTTTTTTGAGTGTTTTAAGTACTGAGTCCTGATTTGCCTGGTTATCTTTTTTTTTTCTTTTCCTTTTTTAACAGCTTAAGTAAATAGAGATAGATCACCTTATGATCAGGTTGACATTGGTCATCACCACATTAGGTTCAGAAAGTGTCTTATGCTGGCAATACAAATATCATAGTTGAAAAGAGTAGTGGAGTATTTGATTTGGTATGGACCAGAAGTTAGGAGGGGACAAAATGCATATTCTACCCATGAGGTGTCTTTGGGCTGGGCGGTAAAGGAATCTGGAGATAAAGGAATCCCAACTAATTGCAAAGTCTGGAGAGACCCCCAAATATTGCTGGCCTGTTGCTCTTTCTTTTATTCCAGCCTTCACTTCTTGGGGCTGCCGGGCAATGTTGAGGACAGAAAAGAGAAGGCATGTCCTGACTTATTTAGCAAGGTGCAGAGCCCTGAGGTACATTTGCAAAGCAGCCTTTATGCTACAGCATCACTGCTTTCCGTGCTGTGTGGTAAATGTTACTGGTGGCTTAGTGGTGGGCCAGGCTGCCAGCTGTATTGGGGCACAGTTTGGCAGCTCTGAATTCTTGTTCTTGTCTGGTCCTGTGATACCTGTTTACTGCAAGGATGAGGAATTGGAAAAAAATTTATCCTTAGCAGATGAAGCATGGTCAGTTCTCTGTAGGGTATGGTATGCTAAAGATATATAAGCAAATAGTGTTTTGCTGAAGAAAATTATTGTGCCTAATTCCAAGAAAACAGTTAAACTGCTTAAGAGACCAAGATGGATCTGTTTCCTTTAAGGAAGGAAAGGTGAATATTTATGTATTACCAAAATGCCTTTTAATACTGTGGAAAATGTTTGTCTGCTTTATAACAAATTTGAATTTTTTCTTAATGGGGGCAGAGCACATATTTGGGAACCTGCAGGGCTCTTTTAAGCATGAATGGTATTAATTTGAGGAAAATGGTTGTCATGGAAAGTTTTATTGCAATTACTTTAGGTTTGGTAGCATTGTCAGTAATGTAACACTGTATGTGTACCCAAAGATACATGTGCTGCTCTCAGATTCACCTGTACTGTAAAATGTTTCCCATTCTTTTTTTTAAAGGTATAGAAAAGACAAAGGACTATAAACTAGATGATAAGGATGCACATCTGAAAAATGAAAAGGCAAGCATTTTATAAGATTGAAGACCACTAAAAGCAGTCTTTCTATAGCAGGTTCGAAGTTGGTATAGATTGGTACTTCCATAACAAGCTTTATTACAATATAATGTATGCACTCATAATTCACTTTCCCCTGCCTTATTTTGCACTTGGCATCTATTTACCTTTGAGAGTCTTGGCCCCACTTCTGTTACCTTTTTTTATAGCAATTTATTTTTGACAGATTGGTTAGAAATAAATGAGATTGCCACGGTTAGGTAGTTCCAGGTTTAAAAAGGTTCTCAAACATCTGTCACTGAGCAATCACTAACAAACAATCATAAAGTGACATGATTTATATGAAAAATTAGTTTGTATTAGGAAGCTTAGTTTTTGATTTAGTCATCTCTGAATTTGGTTTAATAAACCTGTGAGTGAGAGCCAGTGTAGGAATGGGAATGGAGCCCCAATTCAGGCTGCAATTGCAAGATCTGTTGAGTTGATCAATGAGTTCCGGATACTGCAAGTGTACTACTCCTGTCCCAGATGGTAGTTTCACAGCCTTCCTTACTCTAACTGGTGCATGTTTCACATTTCAAGTCCATTCAGGTTGCTCAAGATGCAGAAAACCAGTTTGCTTTGTGGGATTGAGATTTCCTACAAATTAAATTGGCTTGTAGGTAGACATGCAGCTGTGGATGCACATGGATAGTAATGGAAGCTCTTTTTCTGGGGATGGGGTGCTAATTTTGAGTCACTGCATCTAATGTAATTTTTCTAGATCCACATAAATTGGGAGTTGTTTTCTCTATTTCCAGCCATGTCATTATTTCTAGTAGAAGATCAGTTCTTCCTAGAAGCTGCTGCTTCTTTCTGTGGTTAATTGTAGTTCCAACTGTATTATTCTGACTTGATAATTAAATTGCTATGTTCTTATTTTTGAACCTCTAAAAAAGAAACATTTATTCCTGATTCTGTAATTACTTGAGCGTCCCAATTCAAATTCTACCGTGTTAAACGATGCAACTATTTGCAGTTTGACTGGAGAATACAGCTGAGTGAATTAGTTGTCTTTCTACAGCTCTTTAACATTTGGTCTTTCTGTGATAGTATTTCTCCACTTATGGCAACTTCTTAGAGTGTGCAGTTTTTGATTAGCATTGCCTAAATCCAAGTAATTTGGCTTCAGAAGAACCACTATTCATTTTGGTAATAGCAAAAGCCTTATTAGCTCCCCTTTTATATTTACTTGGAACCTGTTAATTGTATTTCTGCTGTAGAGTTAATCCTGTAAAGGATGATCTCAAGCAATATAAGCCTTTTTCATCTTTTGACTCTGTAGTTCTGCGGTTTGGGAATACAGGAACTGGGTTGAGGAATATTGCAAAACCAGAACACCCCCCCAGCAACTTACTGGCTTTGTCATTCTGGTTTGCTCAGTCGATACAGATGGAGTAGAAATGGACAACACCCTTTGATCAGTGAAGATTGTCATTGTGGGGGAATGGATGGGAGCCTTGCACAACAGTAACTTGTGGTTCCTTTGAAGTGAGAAGGCCCTGGTTTTAGGAACAGTAATGACAGCAGAGGTACTGAAGGAGACTCTGCTCCAGGAGCAGAAAATACAGTCAAGGCTTCAGTTGCTTTTCAGTGCAGTGGGTGAATATTAAGCTTACGCATGATGCTGAGACTAAGAACTGGGAGCCAACTACTTTGTGTAACAGTTGGAGAACTCACAAGACAACTTGTGTTGTATTCGATTCTGTGCGAAATCAGGTTCAAAATCTTCATGTTGAAAGATGCTCTGTCAGGGACTGTAATCTTTCTGAAGATTAAAAGATGAGTCATTATAAGAATGTGTAATTTCAAAAAAGGAAGGATCTTTTAAAAGAAAGTAAATGGAATTTCCCCTCCAAAGCCAAAACATTTGTAGGTAGTATAGGGATAGTTACCTCATTTGAGTAAGTTAAATGTAAAAGTAATGTAAACGTAAAAGTCCAAGTAAACTTTGAGAAGCAGCTTGCACATGCATCCCTAATAATCCATCATCTTTCCAAATGCTCAGGAGTCAAAAGCTTGACAGATCCTGTAACACCTGTTGATGATCAAGGCTTAAGAGGAGTATTGAGGGAAGATACAACTCTATATAATAAATAGTTAAACACAGATTTACCTTGGGGGATCTTGGAAAGGCTGCCAGCTGCCATTCCAGAGTTCCTTCTTTATGAAATGAAGACAGAGGATCTGTTTCAGCTGAAGAGGTTGTAAAAGAAACTAACAAACACTGAGATAATATTAAGGCCAGTGGCATAGTGAGGAAATTTCTGAAGGAAATCCAGGATGAAGGAGTAAAGTCACAGTATTAACATGCAACTTCTTGCTTAATGCTCTTTAATAGCATGCTGCTGTAAAGGGATCCAGGGGCTGTCCGAAGGAGGAAAGCTGTTCTGGGTATTGTGGGTTAAGTGGAGTAAAATAAAATAATCATACTCGTGATAATACATCTTCAGTACAACTTTCATATACATTTTATTTACATCTTAGTCTTGCAAGTTGTTTGAAGAAATTGGTGGAGAGCCAGTTGACTCAGTGTACTTGAATTTCCAAAGCAGCCATTGTGGTCCCTTGCCAAAACTCTTCAGTAAATGAAGCTGTCATGAAAAATGCTCTGAATATTGAGCTAAAGATGTAGATGAGTGGTCTTTTCTTCCTTCAAAGGTCACCAGTAAGCTAGTCACCATGGAGGGCTGGCTCCTGGACTAGATGCATCTTACAGTTGTATGCCATTTTTAGTGTTGGACTAATATTAGATTAAACCCCAAACAAACAGTGGTGGGTTTGGATATAAGCAATATAAATAAAATAATCTTACTGATAAATATGTGAATTTTGGTTTATATAATGTGCTTCCTCTAAACTATCTCTTTATTTTGTTAATATCAACATTTTTTCAAGGATTATCACTTCCTTCAAAGCTCATATAAATGAACTCATGTGAGTTTATTTGTATTTTTCCTAATAAGTAGAATAATTGGTTCATTAAATAATTCCCAATTTTTCCAGGAGCTTCATGAGTCCACAAATGACATATTAAAAATATCTGCCAGCCCTGAAATAAATAACACTGGTCAGATAGTCAGGACATTACACACCAGTGAAATGCTTTGCTGTCAAGATACTGAAAGAGCGAGCTGTTACCAGGATATAAACTTGCCAACATGGGGATATCGAGAAAGAAATCTTGAAGTAAAAGCCAAAAACCAGGAGTGTGAAAAGATTGTAACTGCTCCCCTTAAAAGAAAGCAAGATGTGCCTTTATCTTGTTCAGAGAAAACAAGGAGATTGCCTGTAAGAACCTACACTTCCTCACATGAAAGAAGATATGACTGTACTTCTGGACAATCAGAGTCTTCTGAAAATTGCCCTTTTGATGTCAGGAATTTAGGATGTGAAGAAAAAAGAGAATTGCTGACAACTGTAAACCAGGCAGCAGCTTTTGTAACTACTATGATATTTCAAGATGGTTCTTCACAGCTCAACTCGGAGCAGGTTAGTGAAGGATGTGTTTTGTTTAGAGTCAGGTTTGTAGAAACATTTGAACTGTGTGTGTGTGACTCCCATGCTCATCAGGAGCCTGGAACCTGGAGCAGTTCAAATACCAAATATTCAAATGTAAAATGAGGTAAAGGTTAATACTTCTGATTACATTTTATTTTTAGTTACCAAGTAAAATCTAAAATAAAAAAGGAATGAAGCTGCTTGGGCTAAACAGGCATTTGTGTACTTGAAGTGAGACTGGAGTATTTTTTCCTGCTTTTTACTGTTTCTTTGACTGGCTTTTTATTTCAAGGCTGAAACACTTGCATGCTCTTCTACTGTGTCAGTGTTGGATGCAGTAACTCTCATGTACATAAATAAGTTTCATATTGCAAAACTGGGACATTTTCTTTACAGGCTCACATAAAATCTGTCAGAGGAAACACTATTGTCATTGCCCTTAACAGGTCTTAACCTCATCAGTAAAAGGATTTGTTGTGTTAGTGAAGAAGCAGACTGGTCAACCTTGCCCTCCCGGTTACTCTTCAACTGACTGTACTCGAAATGCTGCTAATGAAAATGATAAATTAATTTATTTGAGACTTGAATGGCCATCTCTTTGGCAACAAGCACAGCAGGCTCATGAGAGATTCACTTGGTGAGAATATGTAGGAAAAAAGTACTATTTTGCTTTACATACGCTTTTAACAAGTTATGTAGGTTACATGGCACAGGTTACATATATACATATATAGGTTACATATACACTTAATGAGTATAAGGAGATTGAATTAACTGAGTCCTGTGGCAAGATTTGGCTAATATAAACCAAATAAGAATAGATTATTCTTTTGGGCTCAGCATATTGCTGACTGCAGCCCTACAGATCTAGGTTGGGATTCTGATAGGAGCTGTTTATATTCACCAAGTAATCCTTTATGAACAGCTTATAGCTATATGGCACCACGAAATATGTTTTGTACAGGTTTCTCTTGTAGCTTGTTTTCCATTTTCTGAACTGCATTTCTTACCTGGTACTGTAAATACAGTAAATATCCTTTTTGAGCTTTCCTGATATTTTAAGTTTTTTGAACACCATAGGCCTTTTCACTGGCTTTTGAGATCCCAAATAAAGTTTTCCTAATATTCAGTAATAATGTTACACCAGAATTGCAAGATTTTTTTTTAAGTAAATGCTTTATGTAGCTGTGTAATAAACTTCCAGTTAATATAAGCAAAATCCATTTTTATTCTTACTATTAACTTTGAAATAGCATCCCATAAAGGGAGAAATGAGAACCAAATCTGATTCTTAGATATAATATTCACACGTTAAAACTTCATTAGAATATGTTATGATTTTCAGTAATAACTGCTTTATTGTAAACTGCTGAATTTGGATTATTAAATTACAAAGCATTCATTTACAAGACGTTGGACTCAATTATTAATTTCATCTCTGCCACTGCTCCACTGTGACTTGAACCAAATAATTTCCCTATACTTCTTTAGGTGTAATACTGGAGTTGTATGACAACTGGTTTAATAACTTGTTAGTGTGAATAGAGGTTGTTCTGAATTGAGAATAACATATCAATAAAGCAGGGACATATGAAGAGTGAAAATTCAATAATAAGTAAATAAGTGTATTAGCATTTAGATGAAACCCATAGGTAATTATTAGTTGTTGGAATAGTGTGGTTGTGTAGTAGTGGCTCTACACTGTATACAGTAATATGAGCTACACAACTTCTGAGTACCAAACACTTCTTGGTACTGTGGTTTCATACCACCAAAGAAAAATGAACTTGAAAGCTCCATAAAAAATTGCTATTTTTCTATATTGCCCCCAAAACCTTATAAAAGTAACACAAATAATGAGTAAATCTATATACTGATAGATATAATTGGCAAGATTGATTTAAATTAGTGTGGGAACTATAGACATTTTCAAAAGGAATGGAAAAATGTGACATAGATGGAGTATTCTGGATTTAGATAGTATATGAACACTAGGCAATTATGGCAATTTCTATTGTCGAATCATGACCTAAAGTAATCTTTAAATCATGATTTTATGCCACTAAATTAATTCAGAATCCTCTCTGATTTTATTTTCATATATTAAAGTATTACAGGGAAGCCAGTTGCTGTTTAGGATTAAGATTGCATTTAATGTTGAGTATCAAATAGGATTTGTTTGTGAATGCATGTTAAGGCATATCTGCTATGATGTTTGGTTTATTATAGAATGAAGTCTCAGTATTAATGAATTGAGAATTTAATATTCAAATACAGTGTACTGTTCTTGCAGGAATAAAGAAATGTCTTGTGTTAACTGTTTAGTAAGAGGTGGTAATTAAGTGTATAAAGTAAATATATTCACTAAATCTAGTAGTGATACAGTGTGCATTAATAAACTGCTTCTGTGCAGCCAGGTGTTGTTTCAAATGCTGCGTTGCAAAGTTCCAATTATTTGTTTCAATGCAAAAGATTTCCTGAGGACTTTACTTCAAGTTTATGGTAATGAAATTAGCTGGAAACAAGGTAACTAATCTATGATCTAATCCTGTCATATCTGTGCTTTTGATGTTTCTGTTAAAATCACCAGGTGCAGAAGTAACTAGATTAGTGGTTAAGTAATATATGGAAAAACAGTTTTAGTATGATGGAAAGGAGAAACCTTCTTGGGGGAGGTTGTGACCAGAGGCTTGGCATGTCAAGATGATGCATTTCTTCTCAGAGTAGGAATCAAATCATTGAATAATTTAAGCATTGCTTCTAGTGGTAACAAAAGCTGTCAATACAGTCCTGACTGGATCTGAAAAAGTCAAACTGCTTCGTATTTCATGTTCCCTAGACAGACTTTCTCTGCTCAAGAGGAAAGGCTGAAATAAATTCCAGAGGAGTTCCTAGTTGTCAGAATTGGGAATTACTTGAAGGGGTCCTTGTTTTTTTGATAGGAACAAATTAAAACTTTCTTATATGGATTTAAAAGCAACTACAAACAGAAGATATAATGTTTATGTTTGCCTTTTTTTTTTTTTTCCCACTTAAAATCATAAAATCCAATAGGTTGAAAAGACCTTTAAGATCATCAAATCGAACCTTTACCCCAGGACAGCCAAGTCCACTACTAAACCATGTCACTAAGGGCCCCATCTACATGGTTGGTGAACACTTCTGGGGACAGTGATCCCACCAGTGCCCTGGGCTATTCCTATGTAGTCATGATACTGATTGTTTGTTACAGGTGCAAATTCGGTGTTTTAAGATTTTCATAGTGTAAATGCTTGTCTATTTATGATGGGTGTCTACAGGAAAGATGGGCAGCACTTTAGAAGTATTTCTCAGTATGGGATGTAGCCAAAGTATTTTGATTGACAAAAATAACTTCTTTTTCTAGTTGCTGATAGTGTCGTATTAGATCCCAGGATTGCAGCGTGGCTGATAAACCCCAGCGACACAGTTCCCTCTTTTGAATGTTTAATCCAGAAGTATTTTGAAAATCCTTGTTCTATGGGAACAGTAAATACAGATACAGGCACTTTGAGAAATGCATCAGTAAGTAGTTTGTTTCAATTGCTTGTAGTTGGGTAAAAAGGGGAAGGAAATGATGAAAGAATTGCCTTTTTCTTACAAAATACTGGAGAAAGAAAGTCACATAATGCTTTTCTTCTGACGAAAGAAAATTACTATATTAATACTACTTGTTGGAAATTTAATTTTAAAGAAAGGGGAGAAGGGAAGGAAGGTTCACTTCATTCTGCCAAGATGGCATCATATTTTCCAGAACAGCTGTAAAATTCTTCAAAACCTGAAAGTTCAGTACCAATGTGAATTAATATGTAATCTCATCCTTTTGCTTTCTACCTCCCTCCAAACTGATTTCCAGTTTTCCTTTCCAAAATGTCTGTCTAATGCCTTGTTCTGTAATTCCTGTGAACTTGTAGCCTGTACATAGTTACTTGTTATTAACAATTTTGCTGAATTTCACAGCTGGTAAAGGCACCACATCATAGGCTGAGGAACAGTAGGGAGTCAAATGTGAACCTTCAAGCATGTGTATGAAAAAACTGTATTTTTATTCTCAACAAGATAGAATGTGCTTTTTTGGGAGGTTATTCTCAGCATTGTGAAGATATCTTACTGTCTGTTGAGAGTGTAAAATTTTGGTGTTTGTGTTTTGTATTTCATATCTACTCTGACCACATTGGCCTTCAGATGTCATTTGAATGATAAAAATAGATGTGCAATGCCTCAGTGGTGGTTTTTGAAACTGGTCACTTCAGAGGCCTTGCTTGTTCAGACTCGGGTATTTAAATGTGATCATAAGGCTTCTAGGTCACAAATCCAGATGTCAAGTGGACTTACAGCATGCACAGAGGTCAGTTGTATTGGCATATACCCATCAGTATAGATAATTCTGAGAGACCAGAGCTATTTACTTTAAAACAATAGCTGTAAACTGCAGTTGTTTAGAAGTTTGTGGGCTAAGCTATTAGTGCAGGGAATGGACAGGCAAACTGGCAGAAGCTATGAATTTGTTGGTTATTTCTGTATGTGATGTCCCCTTCTGAGAGTCAGCATCCTTAATCTTGTCTCTTTCATTGTTTGACTCAGTCTCTTGTTCTCAGTATATCACATCTATTCTTAGTTATAATTTCTCAACTTTGTCATGCTGATTCCCAGCTCTGAGTTAAATATTGAGTTGTTATTTCCTTCCTGTCCCACTTCAGGTCTAGATCGTTTCCTTTCCCCAACCATCTCCAGTGCCTTATGCTGACTTGTTTACCCAAGTCCCAGTTAATGCCTCCCTCTAGCATCCTGTGATTATTCCCTGCCCAGTCCTTATGCAATTAATTTGTTCCCTGAACTCTCCCACTTTCTGTTTGGCTTCTCTGTTTGCTCAGTGAGTCCCAGTTCTTCCATGAATGCTAACTCTTTGCCAGATTTTTCTCTTCACCCTTCTTGCTCTGACTTTACTGGTATGTTCCTGATGGTTGGTTGTACTCCAGGAGGGATCTGTGTCAGGTGATGTATCATGTCTTGCGCACCACTCTTTCAGTTAAGCTCCCTCTGTATTGTGCTAATCCTGTCCACCCGAGTAAGTATTTGAAATGGCTGCTATTTTATTCTGTAGCCTACTACTCACCCACACACCTCTGCAACATAGAATATGTGCTACTTGCTGCTTGTCCTTATATTTGCTGCTGTGCCAAAGGCTCAGTTAAAGGGGTCATAGTCTATATACCTTGAAACTTTTGCTGAAACAGGTGCTATGCATCATACTGCTCGTGTCATTACTGCATTTGCGGATAACGAATCTTGCTGTCACTGAAGCCTGTCATTGGTCTTACTTCCACCTCCAGAATGGATCAAACAAGCTGTTGCTCAGACCATAATATTTCACAGGCAGCTCTTTTGTTCCAGAACCAGTGGGTATGGACAAGGTTTCTTGGAGACAGCTTGATGGCTTTTCACTGCAGTATAGGCCTGCTTATGTTAATCTGTCTGAAGTGGAGAGAAGTCCTTACTGGTAGGACAGGACTAGACTGTTATAAAACAAGGATGACCACCACTGGATGTCTATATTTCATCTTTGGAGAGAGCTCTCTCTGCATCCTACCTTCAAGGGTCTACTTTTTCTCAGTCTTGCAGTGTTCAAGCCTGCAGTAGGCTGAAGGGAAGCCTGTACCAGTAGGTGTCTATATTGTCTACTCACAAATGACCAACACAACCAGTGCTGAAGTTGCATAGACTAATAGCCCTTGAGCAGATGGGGAGCCTGCAGGGACTGTCAGGGGAATTCATGATCCTTTTTTAACCCTTTCCTGCTGCTGGGGCTCTGCTGGGACATGCTTCCCACTAACAGACATCTGTTTAGTTTTATCTGCTGTTATCTTGAGTTATATGGTCATTATAAAAGATAAAAACACACAGGCTTGAGCACATTCTAAATGACTGCAACACTAGTGCCCCTTTGTTATATTATATGTGGAAGGAAAATGTCTGTAGCAAAGATTACTCCAGAACTTGGGTAATTCTCATTTTAGCATGAAATATAAGTTCTTGTAATTAGTCGTTATCTCCCACTCTTTTGTTACAATTGGCACTTCTAAAAATCAGTTGAACCAATGTGATAGAGTTCTTGTGATGGCTCTTCCCCAGCTGTGCACTGGAATGCACAGCTCTGTTACAGTAATGTGTTATAATTTGCCCTAAAATAAACTAATTTTCAGTCAGTTCTGGTTCTGTTGTGTTTGTGCATCAACAAGTAATTTGGATTCCTTCTGCATTTTGTTTGGATCAAATAATGGAGGAAGCATTGCTCTTGTCATTCTGCATCTGCTGTAATGCTTTGTTTCCAGACTTTTGTCTTTCTTCCAATAATGGGGCAGTTTTGCAGACACCAGGCCAAAATTGTGAGGTTTGTGTACGAGGCAGATTTTCACACACTGTTTGGAGGATGGATTATGTTTATCTCTTGATGTCAGCTAACTCTTCACCAGAGGGCATGGGATCAAGTGATTAGATGTACTGGTGTCTCAGTCCATGCCGACTTTTGCACCCTAGGAACACAGCCACAAGGTTCTGAGAGTCATCCTGAAGATGATGAGAATTGCGAGAAGAAATTTGCAAAGAAGTTTTCCTCATTTAATAATAATAAAATTTATTTTCATTTCATAGCAATAGAATTCTGCCTTCAATGTCAAAGGCAATGTAACGACACTATTTCTCCATACACAGTCTGTGCAAAATGTAAATCAAGGAACAGGTAAAATCTTGAATATTCATGTTCTGTTCTACTCTGTTCATAAATTGTGTTTGTCAGAGGTCTAAGAACATTAATAAAATATTAAATATAAGAGGAGACATACAGAAAAATATATAGTTTAATTATGTTCAAAATAGTCTTCAAAATATTTATGTTAGCATTAAAACTGTTGATTTATTTTTTATCAGTATCAAAACTTAGGTGTGAACTTGCAGAAGCTTTATAATGTGATGATGGACCTTGCTCGTGACTTACAGGTAAGATATAAAAAGTAGTTATTCAGGTATAACTTCAGAGGCACTGTCATGAAGTAAAGAGAGTTACTGACGTGCTTCTCGTTCAAATCAGAATGAATGAATTCTACTTACTAGAATTAAGTAGGAGCTTTCAATCCTTATTGGTTTACACTGCTGGTCAACATTAAAAATAAAGTTTCCCATCAAATCTGCCATCTTTTCCAGAAGGAGGAAATGCTTAAGTCTCAAGGTTAATCTCAGAAGAAACTTTTCCTCTTATTATTTTTTTCTTATTACTGTTCCTGTACAAAATGATTACTATTACCAAATGTGTTGCCGCTAAACTGAAGTGATAATGGGCTACAGTATTTAGGCTTTGGTTCACACTAAGTAGTATTTAATTGCATAAATAGTTTTGCCATATATAAAGGGATTATACAGAAAGTGAAATACTGCTTACTGGAAAATAGAGCCACAAAATGACACGACTGTACGTTTTAAGACTAAAATTGGCTGTTACTGAAGATTTTATTTGTATCTTGCTTTACAGGTTCAAGGTTTGTGGCAATTATTTTGCACATTAGAGCTTCCACTTCTCAAAATTCTGGCAGGTATGAAAGTTCAATTCAAAATACAAATCTCCACTGTTTTCACACAGCTGCTGACTATGCTCAAGTAGGATGTTATACCTCAGGGTACTAAACGGTATGTCAGCTTCATGGCACCTGTGTGTGTTTGACTTCCCATTTTACAGTCTAAGAAGCATGTAAAATCAAAATTGTCAATTGTAAATGTTCTCAGTATATATATAATTGTATTTACAGTGATGGAAACACACAAAATACACGTGAACAAACATGAACTGAAAAAAACATCAGAGATTCTGGGGGTAAATTTTGCCTTTATTTCTTCATTTACAAATTGTATAGCATCATCTTGCTGCTTTTACTGAAGATAACTGATTAAAAAGAGGAGTCTGTTTTGTCACATTTTATATAGCAGTTTAGGGTTTCTAGTGTTTTTATTATACTCTTATTATTGTAAGTATAACTAATTATATTTGCACTTTAGGGTAATTCCAAGAGATACTTGCTTCATTAGCCTTGCCCCAGAACTGAGATTGCTTTGCAAAATGACTAGTTCCTTTTGGGTTATGTGTTGTAGAGTAAAAATTGTAATGACTTTTTCTGATCCCACAGTTTTCAGTAAATATCTTCTTCAGAAGTAATAAATATTTCCATCTTTGTAAATAAAGCACTCTTTACAGCTTAGGTATTCTGAGAGATTTAAGTTTGCCATTTCCCCATTGATTAAGAGTAGCTACAAGAGAATCCTATTTTGTAGCATAAAATCTGACTAGGTAATCATAGTGGTCTGACAGATAATTAATTTACCAGAATAATTCCCATAGCTCTGTTTCTCAGAGATTACTATAGTCTTTGTTTTCCCACAAGTGTTGGTACTTTTTACTATGATAAATCCCTCTCCCAGATCATGAAGACACACAGATTAAAGAGGGTTTAAGAAATCAAGCTAAATGTTGATAGCCAGCAATGATTACACATTACCAAGTGCCCTATTTGTAAACAGAAGTCTGATCTACTCAATCTAGGAAGTAGCGTAAGAAAGTAAGAATGTGAACAGAATAATTCTGATGTACTAATTTGTAGTTGCGACTCAAAGAACTTGAACAGGAAGCTTATCAAGTTGCTGGAGAACGTTTCCTTGTGACCAGCAGTAGTCAGCTCAGAGAGGTAATATTTATACTACTGTTATTTTGTAGCTTGTAAATGCAGAAGTATTATAAAGCATATAAAATTGTCCTCACAACTTCAGAATTCTTTCTTTGTTATTAATTATGATTTTCTGATTTTAATGAATGGTATCAGCTTGTCAGAAATCTGTTAGTGTTGGATAACCTGTATATGAATGTATTTACATCAATTATGTGTGTGCATTTAGTAAATATGCTACTTTTTCATAGCTCAAAAATAAAGATTTGGGTTTTTTCAATTCTGTGACAGCTCTTGTTGCTACAGTATGCTTTATATTCCCTGAAAACTGTTTTTGAGGCTTAAACTCCATAATAAAATAATTTTCCTGTTTCAGCACTGGAAACACTGAAACATTTCTCTTCTGTGTTTTTCTCACTGTAGGTACTATTCGAAAAGTTAAAACTGCATACACTGTGTGAGAAAGTTCACAGAACTGAAATACAACAACTTGTGTCCACCTCAGAAGTTGTGGTGAGATGGGGAGGGATTTTAAAACCACCTGCATGATTTAGCCAGACTTCTAAGTTCTATTCCAGTGAAAATGTCATTTGTCTGAGATTTTCCTAGCAGTCGTGATGTATTTTTGTATTGTACTAATCACACTTCATTTACTCATGCCAGAAATGAAAGTTGCATTCTATGATGGGGAAAACCAAACTAGCTACTGATATTAAACGTTAGCTATAAACTGGAGCTAAAAACTTTAGTACCATCGTGACCATCTTCCTCAAAGGAGGGAGACTTTGTGGCTGGCCAGGTTTTGGTAGCTTGGTATAACTGACTGGTTGGGTGAAAAAGACTACTGGTGAAAGAAAAGAACATTAATGTGAAACCTGCTGGTGAAAAAACTACCACCCCAGACTTCCTGTTTCCTGTCAGGAGATTTGGGCTAAAACTATGTTGTCATCTTCTTATGGAGCCTTATCTCACTTGTTCATATTAGGTAAAAAGCTCTGTAGGAAATTATTTGATACCTGTGGCTTGAATCCAGAGTTGTCACCTTCTTTGTATAGTCCAGTGTTATTCTTCTTGTCTGCGTAGATCTTCCTCAAGCTTTGTTTTCCTCCATGGAGTTGCTTGTCTTCAGGAAGAATGGTTGCATTTGGAGTTAAATCTGCAGGGCATTGATAGAATCTTGCTCCCTTTGAGCAATAATGACTAAACGGTTTAGATATTTTGATATGCCTGTACAAGAAATTCAGTGCAAGAAATTGCCCACATGAAGCTTTTCCTGTTCTGTTAGTGCTGGAGCAGATAATGCTCAGCAATGCAGATATTCATGTGTGATTCCACACAAGTGCAGAAACCTGGTAAAACATTTGTCTGAAAATGAAGTCAAGGCCAAACTGCAGACTTCTTGGTAACCTGAGGCAAGTGGAGCCTTTATGCAGCTGTACCTGTTCCTGATTTGGTGCTGCGGTTGTATAATTCTAGTTTACATGGGAGTCAAATAAAAGTACTCAACTCATTGCTGAGAATGGACACCTCTGGAGAAGGTACAAAGGTAGTATTTGTTCTTGTGTGTGAAAGAAATAATTCAACTTTTGGGTCAAAAGTGTCTGAACTGCCATATACAATCTCTGAGATAATGTCAACAGTATAACTGTTGACATGTTGCTCAAGGGAAGGAGGTTGCATAGATCAAATGTAATTTTGGAGGGTGACAGAGAGCCTTGGGAGGTGAGATGGGAGGGATCAATGAAATACAATGCATGTCGTGTTTTTCTGGGAATATGTGTTGCAGTTATCAAAGCAAGACTTTTATCTAGCTCAGTACTCTTTACAACAGCTGCTAAGACTGAGTTATTCAGATAAAGGTAGGCTGAAACCTTCCAATAGAAAATTACTAGAGAATTAATATGTTGTCTCTCCCTGGGAGCAAGGAAAAAAATCACCTTTAAATCTCCATTCTGGTATGGTTCTGTTTATTTTTCACCCCAAACTGTTGTAGTTCCAGATATTTTTGATGTACTTATTAATATCCAGTCTCTATTTTAATAATTTCTTTCTTTTTGTTCTCAAAATTCTGTAGCATTTTACAATCAAAGTAATGTCAGAAATATGCTCTATCTCATTGCTTTTGGGTTTGACAATTTCAGTTTTTCTTGAAGTTTTTCTAGAACTTATATTAGGAAATAAAAAGGAGAAGTTCTGTTGGATTTTGTGTGCGTGTAAATATGTATGTGGCTATATATGTATTATTTTGTATACTTTTATTGTATCCTCTCTTGCATTGATGTTGTCTAGCACAAACAATAAACCAAGGACCATAAGGAGCACCCCACCTCACCCTCACCAATGCTCCAGTGTTTTAAAATATGTTGTGGAGTAGTTTTTATGTCTTTTTGTCTCTGTCTGGGACACGAAGCTGAATGGAATGAATGGGAACGAGTAAGCTCCAGCCCTCCTGCTGAAGGCAGGGGAGAATGGAGGCTTCCTGGGCCTAGACTGAGATTGCTTTAAAGACATTATTCTTTAGCCAGTTTTTATTTCAGCTTGGTGAGAATATTTATTCCTCCAAAACTTATTTTGTTAAGATTGTTAAATAACATAACTTCACTGAAAAGTATGCTAATAATTTACATGCTTTATTTTGCAGCTAAAGCAGTTGCAAGATCTTCATCCTTTGCCTAAGATAATTTTAGAATACCGTCAGGTGAGCTGATATTTGTCATATAATTTAGTTGCGCTGAGGCGAAATTAGCAAGAAAGAGAACATATTCACGGCTAAATACATACAAAAAAGTTGGCTCTAATGTAAGTTCAGTCAAGTGTTCGTTTAAATTTTGAATTTCTGGTATTCTTAAGGGTTTTCAAATTTAATGATTATATTTCTGGCTTGCAAGATATTAGATTGTAGCCAGCAAACAACTGTTGCAAAAACAATCACAAAACTTCACTGCTAAATTTGTGTAGTGCTATAGAACACATTCTTAGTGCAAAACATTTACTTTTTGAGTTCTGAGAAAATCCTCCACTGACAGTGAAGGGGAGAACTAGTTGTGGGGGGAATTTTCAGTAAAAATTCAAAGTAACATGGTTAGCCTGCTCTCACACTTCATGTTTTGCTTTCAGTGGGTATGTTTCTAAGACTAAAAACCAAAACCAACCCCCAGAAAGGTGTGGGTGGTACTTTTGCATGTATGAGTGCCCTTTTTTATGTAGTTTATTGACCTGGTGATATAAGATGTAAAGCAATAAATTCCAGTAATTCATTTAGTATTGCAAAAACCTGGCTTTAAGGTATGACCAAGCACTTACCTAAGTTACAGTGATAGGTTAAGCTATTAGTGAGTATACATCCATTACTTACTAAGATAAAACTATCATTTTACAAAAGTTTACTAAACAAGTTAATATGCATTTTGAAATTAAGATCTTAAACTTGAAAAATCTCTTATTTTTATAAATTAGCATTTATCTGAACTTTTGTGTAATAATTTAGGTTCATAAGATGAAATCAGCTTATGTGGATGGACTCCAAACGTGCATGAGAAAGGTAGAAACAGAAAATTTAGCTTGTAAAATATGGTATTTCAAATAAATCGTAAAAGGATGTGAAATGAGTGTGGTGGTTACAGTTTCAGAACTTTTAAATACAGAAAATTGTGAATATTTCTTTTTGATTTATTTAGTCCTGATTGCAGTGTGTTTTTATTACTGATACTTACATTAAATACAATTTAGATGTATGTCTTCACCCTTTTCTTTTTGGGGATTTTTATTCTACTTGACTACAGGGATTTATTTCCTCTACATGGAATCAGACAGGGACTGCAACTGGCAGACTTTCAGCCAAACATCCAGTAAGTGAGCCCATTAGAAGACTTATATTTTAATTAGAATTAAAAATTATTTTTATAAAATACATAATTTTTTTTGCACATGAAATTTTCATTTTCATCTTAGTCTAGCAGTTGCTCTATTGTATGCAAATAGTGGACAGGAAAAGATTATTAAATATATGTTTTACTCTAGAACATTTATTCTTACACGTATTTTCTGTTACCTGTGGATCAGAATCTAATACTATTTATTGAGGCAGAGGGGTAGAATTGTGAGGGGTACATGCAGCCTCTGTATTTCCTCTGAATCCTCCTTTCGAACCTGGTGTTCATGAACTATTCCTTTTAAAGGATCAGTGAGCCTTGGAAGGTATCCTGGGGACTGCAAAAGTGGGGGAAAAGAGGCCTTCTGGAATTTGCCTTCAGGTCTCATAGCAGTGAAGGTCTAAGCTGGCTATGCTGTTGCTCTGGAAGTCTTGGGGATGCTTATACATCTGTGACACCTGGGCTTTTTGTGCTTCCTCCCCTGTCATTGGCTATAATGATCTCCAAGTGCATACTTGTAGCTGGAATGTGTTTTATTTGACTATCTGCACTGCTAGAGTCTTGGGTGAGTTTTTGTTTTTCCAAAGTGGCATTTTTAAAGGCACATTTGAATATATTTTATTATATCATTTTTACTTGGATTTAGGAAGCATACTGACCTTTGACTGTAGGGACTGGTGGAGCCTTTGAGTTCCAACAGTGGAGCCTTTGAGTTCCAATTCTATCAAAGTCATAGCTGCATGGATGAATGTGCAGGGGCTGGTGTGGGAGGAGACAGGGTTGCAGATTGCTTCAGGAGCTTGAGTCAAGGCATTAGGTGGGGGAATAGCAGTAAAAAAGTAGTGTTTGGTTTAATCATGGCCTGTCCTAGCAAAGACCTAACTCTAGCCCTGTGGGAGAGGAGGAATAGATGCAAAAGTGGGACTTGGCTCATGAAGGCTGGAAGGAATCCACAAAGCTGTTGTCCTTTTACTTGTGCCCAAAAGTATTGTCAGTTCTTAGCCATGCAGGTTGGAGTACTACTTATCTGTCTCTGCAGGTGCTAGCCATGAGCTTAATGGGTACAAATGGCATTAGAATCTTCCTGCAGTGTTGGGAGAAAGGCCAGTCTTCCTCAGCTCTGTCTAGGAGTAGAGATGTTGGATATAATGCTTATGTTGTGACCATTTTGCTGGGTGGGTTCATGTGGCTCCACGCAAGTCCTGGCCGCTATGGTGATGCTTGGTGTTGCAGCAGAAACCTGTCCTGGGAAGTTCTCATCCTCACAATACTGGTGATTTCCTTATCCCCTTTATCTATCTTCACAGTTCAGGTTTCATTCATTCCTACTCTCATAGTACCTATTTCCATACAATTTGTCATCAAACAAAGAGATAGCAAAACATCCACTTTATAGAAAGTGGTATTTTGTGCTTTTTGCTGAGTAAAAACAGTGTCTAGGGTTCTGAGTTAACAAGGGAATACTGTGTTACTGCTGTTCCTGCTTCTCATGTGCCCAGATGGGGGGAAATGATGGGAGAGAATGGAAAAGATGACCATGAAGGTCACAGTTTGCTAAATATTCTGACATGATGCATAGGCATCTGGAAGTCAGAGCTGAAGTGACAGCTGCCTTGAACAACCACATCCAACACAAGGTGACCTTTGGCTCATCAAGCTAAAAATGACACAAAATCTACTTTTCTTAAAGGTTGTTTTTCTCCAAAATAATGCTGCTAAAGTTAGCATCCAGGGTTGCCTAAGGCTGGCTTTTCCTTATAAGGAAAAACATTGGCATGTCTTTTTTTGTGTGTGAAATGTTTATGGAACTTATACCATCTGTTTCTTGAATCATTTATTGATATAGAAGATATACTGCAGTGCCCAGTCACTCTACTGAGTTTTAAAGGATTAGGAAGAGTCTTGCCAGAGATCATAAATATTGTAGATATTTTTGCAGTTACAATGATGCTATATGAAATTTTAGCTGAATATTTGCTGAAGTATTTATTTTTAATTGTGTTTTAAAATGCTTTAAGGATTGATTAAAGCAACAGATAAGTGTAAATCAGATGAAGTGAGAATTCAAATAGAAAAAAAACATCCCATTTGCTGCACTGGTTGTGGGAGATGGGGTCCCAAACAAAGGTTTCTTTCTTTCATTTGTTTTATAAATGTAATGGCTCTATCTGTCCTCTTGCCTTTAAGAAATTGAACTCTTTTAAATGGCATTCATGAGGATTTACTCATAGGTTTAAGGGAAAATGACCAGATATGAGGTACAGAGCAGAATTTCTTTTTCAGATAGGTTAACTCTTCTGCGATCGTCTTTTTGACAAATCCACATCTGATGTATGGATGATGCATATTTTTTGCTTTACATGGGTTTCTCTCATAAGATAAACTTACTCACATGAATTTTTATGAATTCTGTGTTCCAGGAACTTAGAAGGGGTTTCTTGGTAGAAATTTGCTTCAGTGGCTCTCCATGTATACATCCAATTTAAGTGTGCACTCCATTTCTTCCAATTTGGTTTCTTTTACAGTATGTGTGGTGCATAATCAATGTGTTCCTCACAAATAAGTGTTGTATACTGGTATAGTATATCATTAAACAGGAACACATTGAATATTGTAGTCTCCTGCTATAGCAGTGTAACTGTTCACTACTCCATGAGAACCTGCAAATCTGAAACCTAAAAGTAAATATAAACCCTAAAATTCTTCACTCAACTTAATTGGAAATGTAGACATACACTAGTTATGCTTTCCACTATGGATTGCTTATGGGTCTTAGGGGAAGCTTATTGGTTAATTTAAACGTTATTTTTAATTATTTTTGTAAAAATATATTAGTCTTGTCTACAGTAAGCGGCTCCTTCATTATGTTGCTCAGAGATAACCTTTACTAAAGAGATTCATGACATTCATAAAGTCTTGTTTATGTTCTCCAAATCTACCTTGAAATACCACTTCTCAGCCTCTCACTGTTTACAGCAAGAATAAATCATGACAGAGGTGGAAAAGAATAAAAGCAATAAAGCCAATTAAGATCAAGTCTCTTTCAGAATGAACACAGAGAAAGCCTCACTCCAGATATAAAGATTGCATATAATTGCATGCTATAATTTGGTTTATGATGTAAACTTCAGTGCTAGAATCAGATATTTTTTATTAATATTTCTTTCCTCCAGGCTTCTGCAGCAGAGAAAACTGAAATGCTACTAATGAGCTTACTGTTCTATACTTCAGAAGATGTTTTTATCGTTAAACTAAAAAGCACAAAGTGGTGGGCTTCAGGGAGAGCTTCCTTCCTTTTAGTAACAACAAATTATTCTGAAGATAAATAAGGTTTTTTTTACCTTTTCAGACCAAGTGAAAATGGAATAAAAGCATTTCTATTTCTCCCCAGGAAAAAAGTTTTTACCAGCTTGCCCTAAAAAAGCAAAGAAGTAAAATAATTTAACCTGTCAATTAAAGAAGGATGTTATCCTCTAATTGGGAAAGCAGGAATGTAGTTTGAAAGGGAAACTAGTTAGGGGGTGTTAAATGTTAATGTGCTCAAAGAAGAACCATGAAATATTGACAAGAACCTGAAATACTGACAATACCTCAGTCTCTCCAACAGCTATAAATATTTTCTGATAGTCATGCATATAGAGGATCTCATGCTTGTTTATTAGATAATATGTGTTACTAATAGCATTTGGAATATGAATAATGAATTACTCATCTGGTTTTCATTCTAATGGGGGAGACAGTCTCTTGACATAGAGACCCTTCTGAGCAATCAAAACCAGGTCTGTTCTCTTCTTTAACTTAGCAAACCTTTTTTTTTTATTTATTTTATCCATACTGTTTTACTTCCTTCTGGGCTGTATTCTGGATTGAATGGACTAATTCTCCCCAAGATAAAACTCAAATGTACTTTTTGAATAGATTGAGGGTCTTTTCTGGACAGTGTGGATGAGATGCTGCTTGTTTATCTCCCTTTCATCACACTATCCTGGTAGGTTTTACATCCTTAGCATTCACACACACCAAGCAGCGTGGACTGCCAGAATTGTGCTCTCAAAACTATTGTGGCAGCTCTTAAATTTCAGGCATTTTGTCCCCTCATTAAGGCTACAGGCTGCTCTGTGATACTACCAATGCTCTTTCTGAAAGCTTATGGTCTATAGTCACAATTGGATTCCTAGTTCTACAAGGTATTTCAGTAGTGGTGAGTTGCTGTACAAATTGGAAGTGTCCTGGTTTTCCCTTGTCCTTTTCCTTCACAGCTTTTAGAAAGCTTTGGCAGAGCTGACGCAATGTAAGGAGCTAAACAGCAAGTCTGGGTGAAGGGATGTGATCAAATCTTTTTTTCAAATGATCCTAAAGCTCATTCAGTTCCAACCCCGTGCCAGGGGCAGGGACACCTTCCGCTAGACCAGTTGCTCCAAGCCCCATCCAGCCTGACCTTGAACACTTCCAGGGATGGGGCAACCTGTGCCAGTGTCTAAGCACCCTCACAGTGAAGAATTTTTCCCTAATATCTAATCTAAATCTCCCCTCTGTCAGGCTAAAGTCTTCTCCACTTGTCCTGTCCCAACTCCCTCTTTTAAAAAGTCCCTCTCCAATTTTCTTGTTGGCCCCTTTAGGCACTGGAAGCTGCGCTAACGTCTCCCCAGAGATTTCACTTCTCCAGACTGAGCAATCCCAGTTCTGTCAGCCTGTCTTCATAGAAGAGGTGCTTCACCCCTGCGAGCATCTTTGTGGCTTCCTCTGGACTCACTCCAGCAGGTCCAAGTCCTTCTTAGGCTGAGGGCCCCAAAGTTGAACACAGGGGACAGAGACAAGTCAGACATTTTACAAGTGCATATAAAGCATCAAGTCAAAAGTCTTCTATGAGGACCTCTAGGTTTCTGAAATAATTTTTATGTAAGTACGCTCTGATGTATATGAGTATGCTTTTGATGAGAAAATGAACATGAGCCGCCTTCAGTGTGCGCTTGCAG